ACTGCAGACACCTCCTCATTGTGCCTCTACGAAGACCAACACGGGGACGGCCGGTTGGGGCCGTGCGTGGAGGGGGCGAGTGTGTTTGTGCAAGTTCCCACCTAATGGTCACCTTTGGACTAGTTGACTTTCTCAACTTCGGTCGCTGAAGCCACCCGAAATGTCTTCGGTGAGGGGTTTGAGTGAAGTCGCCAGCAACTGCTTTCCCGCTTTGCCTAGTGCGGCCCGAGGCGACCGCCGCTGCCACCGCTCTCCAGACTGTCAGTGCTTTAGCCTGCCCTCACACTCACATCAATAATTCAATACAAACCGGACGAAAAACTCGTGTCAAACGGCATGGCAAAAAAGTTCCCTCTGTATGTGCAGATTTTGCACTGTGTGCATTCATGCGTACAATTTTAACATATAGAGTATAGGCTCTAAATTAGTAGCCCAATTGAAAAGTGAAACATGACGGAATCGCAGCTGCGTTTTTATTGTGAAATCTACAGATAATCGTAGACAGAGAGTACCCTCTCGAGGTTGGTCTTCTAAAATATATTTCACGCTAAAGCGTATGATATCAACAATTCAGTACTTCTTTCATTTCCGTGCAAGGCGCTGGTGAGCCTCTAGAGACAATCGTAGGCAGGAGTAATGGTGGGTAAGGGAGCTATTGCAGCCACTGCTCGGGCATATCGACGAGACCCCTCACCTCAGCCCCCAGCCCCTCAGCGCCGTCGTGGAACATACCTCACCACGAAGAACGCTCCCGAAACACACATATTTCCACAATCACGCGGAGAACGCGAGGACGGCAGTCGACCTCTCCCGTCTCTCTCTCTCTCTCTCTCTCTCTCTCTCTCTCTCTCTGTAGCAGGTGGGTGTAGCCAGGGCGATGAAGCGAGAGGAGGAGATGGGTTGCTTTGCGGCAACGGTGTGGGGAAAAAATTGACGCACACGGCCCACTCAGTTCTACGCCCACCACGCTTAGAGAACGGCACGAAACGGTCTTGAGCCTCAGCAAAAAGCGCACCGAGCAGCAAACTCGTCATAAATAAGACAATTACGAATCCCCTTATATAAGAGGCCACCAAGGTAGTGCAAAAGAGGAGGAGGGGTAGGAAAGGGGATTGGAGCGACACAGAGAGACAGCAGACAGAAAAGCGAAAATAAATAAGATCTTCCCTCTGTCCGTTTATCTAACCTTGAACTCGACCTACACAGGCGCCAGAGCATAGGACCTCCTCCACACTGTATGTTACATTACCCCTCCTTCCCCCAAACAGTTCGCTGATCGT